ATCAAGAGCTTTTATTTGAGTACCCACATGCATTTTGATATATTTTTCATATATACATATATATAATATATATAAATATATGAAATATTGATGTGGGTACTCAAATGAAAGGTCTCGATGATGGTAACATCAGGATGAGCTTATATCTTTAAAAATGTCAATTGTTCACAAAATACAAGGTAATTTCTTAATTATTGCTATTTCTAAAGATGTAAGCTCATCTCGATGTTACACTCATCAAGAGCTTTCATTTGAGTACCCACATGCATTTTGAAATATTTTTCATATATACATATATATAATATATATAAATATATGAAAAATTGATGTGGGTATTCAAATGAAAGGTCTCGATCAGTGTAATGTCAGGATGAGCTTATATCTTTATAAATGTCAATAGTTCACAGGACACAAGGTCATTTCTTAATTATGTATCTAGAGATAGAAAATTTCCGAATGTTAATTAATGCAGCCTAAATACTTATCATCATAAATTAACTATTGGTGACAATGATATGAAAAACCTTGAAAAGGCACAACTCCAGGTCAAGACCTTTCTAATGATACCAAATTTAACGATAAAAACCCATTTTATGATATAAATACACTGGCCACAAAATTTTTCATATTCTCTTAATAATATAGATAATTATTAAAAATTTCAGATTAATAACAATTATTTTTTTTTCAAGTAATAATTATAATAATAGTTACCTAAAAACTTCTAGAGGAGCAACAATAGAAGTCATTAAATCACTTGAAACATATTTGAAATCAACTAAAACAAAACTTGCTATCCATATAAATCTCAAAACAAAGTCTTCAATGATGGCAAAGTAATAAAAGCTCTGTAATATAATTTTTTAAAATTAAAAATTGACACAATAAATATTTCCTTACATAATAGTTATAATTGCTATTATTATTATTATTATTATTATTATTATAAAAAAAAACTTACAGCTGAAGAATAAACAACTTCTTCACGTAAAAATTTATTTTCTCCAGCATTACTATCTAACAACCCCCAATCCATTTTTATATCCCAAGTGTAAGAATAAATAGAATTTATAATACAGCTTGCTAACCAAAACCATAGCCACGGATTTTCCCAATTGCTTTTATATTGATCTGAAATTTGTAAAAAAAAAAAAAACTATTAATTAAAATACTAATTATATTAATTAATAAATAAATAAGTGAATGTACCTGCGTAATAAGACCTCAGAGTATTTGAAATAACAACTAAAAAAGTTGTTGAATATTTCCCAGCATTAGCCAAATGCGGAAAAGCTTCTTTGGAATCTTTGTAACGCCTGAGACACTGGGCGAATCTAAACCACGCAGGGAGACAATTTACAATAGGTCTGACAATAAGAGACCCGGACATACATTGCGTAGTGTCGTGAGCTTGCAACCAATCGCCGTTGGTTAAATAAAAACAAATTAAAAAATGAAAGTCCAGCAACGGTGTTACAAGACTGTTTAATTGATCAGCCAGCCAGAAGTCCGCGAAATTTACAAACGCAAATGGTGCTATTATCATTCTCCACTGTAATAAATTTTTATTAATAAATATTTATTATTATTATTAAATAAATAATTATTGTAAACTTACTGTTATTCTCAGTAACCAGAACCGCGCTTCGTGGCGAAATATTTTTAGAGGATTTAAAATGAATGCTATCATAATGCAAACAAGTACTAGAGGATTTACGAACGGTGGAATACTCAAACTAGCGCTGAATAGAAAACTTAGAAGACTGAGAGTCCAGATGACTCCTAAAACCGCTGATAATTCCATTAAATGCTGCTCTGATAAGTGATTACGCG